TCTGTTACTTTCCTTGTGGGCCCAAGTCATCATGTCATTCCGTATCACAGGTTAATGACCAGGTGCCATCATGGTCCCATGTTGGGAGTGGGCTATCAGAGGTCACAGGACAAATATGTCTGCTTCTTCAGGACAGTCCATTCAGCCAAAACCGTGAGGTGAGAGGACAAGGACAGTGTCTTTAGGGAACGTCCCTGGAAGAACAGTTACATCTCACCACGTCCCACTCAGTGCTTCTCGGGGTAACATGGGAGCCTGGGAGATGAACATCCTTCTAGCTCATTCCCAGATCAGATGTGAGTTTCTTGCTCCTTGGTACAAACTTGTGTGTCTGCCTCAGGGCTGCGAGTTGGGACCTGGGTCACTAACTGTGTGACTCCAGCCAGCCATTTCCTCTTCATACACCTCAGCATCCCCACCTACAGAATGAAGGGGACAGACTGGATGACCTCTGAGAGATGTTTCCATCTCTTACCTGTGTTCAGAAGAGGGACATGCCATCCACCTTTCCCTGCATGACCTGGTAAAGTTCAAGTTTCCCTCTGATGGAACACAACCTCCCACTGCTGGTCCCTCTGGGGCAGAGACCTGGGTCTGACCTGCAGAAGGAATTCCCCCTCCTATGGAAGCAATTCTGCCAGGGAAAGTGAGCACCAGACTATCGACAAGTCTGTTTATTCCCATCAGCCCCGAGCTATCGACGTGATCAAAACCTGATTCCTGTCCTCAGAAGGTAGAGATGATTCCCTCCCCCAGAAAGACAGCTCTGCCACTACCCTGCCCCTTGACGGACTGATTGGTTTGCTCATTCATTCACATAGCATTAATCAGCCCCTCCCCATGATGTGTTGTTTCTGTGCTGAGTTCTGCAGATTCCAAGACGAATGATTCGCCCAGTCTGGTGGGAAGAGATGGACCTTCCTCTTCTCTCTCTCTCTCTCTCTCTCTCTCTCTCTCTCCTTCTCTCCTTCTCTATCCCTCCAAACCCTTTTTTCCTTCATTTTTTTCTTTCTTTCTTCCTTTATCCACATGCATTTATTGAGGGCCTACTATGTGTCTGGCACTTTGCTAAGTGCTGAGAACAGAGATGAAGATAATATGGTGCCTGTCCTCAGTGAGCTCCTAGTCTAGAGGAAGACAATCTGAGAAGTGACCATGTAGAAGCAACCATGGAAGCAAGGACATTGTGCATGGCTGATGGGGACAATGTACCTTACCTGGTGGGGTGGGGAGGTCAGGTTAGCTTCTCAAGGAAAAGAGATCTGAATTGCATTTTGAAGAAGGAAGGGACATCTTCCAGGCAGAGCAGGACAGGGCTGAACAGACGTTCCAAGTAGAGATGGCAGCATGTCCTATGCCCTGAAGATATGGAAGGGCCTGTTTTATGTTGGGAACCGTGGGCCATTTGATGTGACTGAAGTGGACATTCAGGGGTGTGGGAGTGACCATGAGATAGGAGAAGGTGACGTCAGCCCAGGTCCAGCCTGGATGTGTGTGTTTGGCTAAACATTTTCATCTGAATCTTGCATTTTTGTTTGAGCAAGATCTGGACTCAGTTGCTATGCATGGGACACCAATTTTTAGCATAAGTCATCATGATTTTGTAACTACATAATGATCATCTTTGCGATCATCTGTGGAAACTTCTTGAAATCTGCCAGTCCACAAGTGGAAGTTCAAAGAGCAGAGGCTTCGGAGGGGGCCAGATGACCCATTCTGCTCCCCCCACTCCCTCATATGACATCATCAGCCTCTGACTTCCTTGAAGTACCTCACATGCCCCACTGGCCTGTGAGAGCCTCTCTCCAGGTCATAGCCCAACCACATAAATCTTAGCTTCACGTGTCCCTCAGACGGTATTGCACTTACACGGGTGTGGTCTTGAAAATGGAATTAGCTTTCCAGATAGAGCGAGAGGGCTGCCCTTCTGCTGCCATCAGATCAGAGTTACCTTCAAGGTGGCCTTTCCTGGGAGGTGGCTAGAATGAGCTAGAACATGATCTGCAACAGTAAACCTATGTCCAAGTGGTCAGGTGTCCCCTGCCTTACACTCAAATTGGTTTCTCCCCCACTGGGTCAGAGATCTTATGGGGGAGCCATTATCACAGGGAAAGTCTCAGAGTCTGGGAAAGCCAGCTGTACAGAGAGGAGGTGTGCATTTTTCTCATTACACAAGCAGAGGGTGAACCTCCACTTTCAAAGTCCTAAGTTTCCCACCCCCAGAGGTAACACCCAACTTGCAGATTTGTTGCCAGGATTAAATGAACTAACAGATTAAAAAGACTTCACAGTTTGGGGGAAGATGGACTTCTCCCTGTTTCTCCCACTAAGTGCAATGGAATTCCCTTGATATTATATATAAGTGCATAATAAGGCAGCAGCTAGAGGTTCACAATGAGCCCCGTGAAACTCCTTTTGGCTTCATATATCCCAGACTGGGACTTGAAGAAGCTAGCATGGATGCCATTGGGCTCAAGACATAAACTTACAGGTTCAAATTTCTTAGCAATTCCCAAATATAGATAATGTCTACTCTCACCACTCCTGTTAGACTTAGTGCTGGAGGTTCTAGCCATCGCAAGAAGACAAGAAAAGAAAATGAAGAGAGGGGGCGGGGAGGGAGGGATATTCCAATTGAAAAGAAAACACTGTCCTTATCTGCAGATAACATCATTGTCTATGTAGGAAACCCCAAAGCATATACAAGAAGCAAAATAAAAAGAAACCCGCCCTGGGATTAATAGAATGAATTGCCAGTTCAGCAATATAGCAAGACACAAAGTCAATATTCACAAAGTAGTTGTATTTCAGTCTGCTTGCAATTAACATATGGAAGCCTAAATTTAAAATACACCATTATAATTGCTCAATGAAATGAGAATAGAGATACATTTAATAAAACATCCACAGAACTTGTATGCTAAAAACTGCAAAATTCTAGGGAAAGGAAACAAAGACCTATAGAAATGGAGGGACGTACTTTTGGGAATCAGGCTTTGTCCCCTATAAATATAAGACAAAGTCCTGACCCCGTGGATCTGTGAATGTGACCCTATTTGTAAAAAGGGTCTTTGCCGATGTAGTCTAGTTCAGATGATATCAGAGTGGTGGTCCCTCACCCAGTATGACTTTCACGTCTATTAGAAAAGGAGAAGACAAACAGAGATCTACAGGAAAAGCACCATGTGACAAAAAAAGGTAGAGATTGGAATGTTGTAGCTACAAGCCGGGTGATGCCAAGTACCGTGACCACCACCAGAGGTCAGGAGGAGGCAAGGAAGGGTCTACCTAAAGTCTCAGGGGGAGCTTGAGACATGGCTCTGCTAGGACCTGGGTTTCAGATGTGGAGCCTCTAGAAGTGTGAGAGAATACATTCATGTTTTTTTTTTAAAGCCACTCAGTTGTTGGTACTTTCTTACAATAGCCCTAGGAAATTAAAATATATACCATGTTCATGGATTGTAAGGTTCAACATAGTCAAGAAGTCAGTTCTCCCCAAAATTGCTACATGGGGTTAGTACAACTCGTACCAAAACCCCAGCGAGATTTGTTGTAGGTAAATACAAGACTGTCTAATAAAAGTTATATGAAAAGCCAAAGGAAGTAGAATAGAAAAAAAAACCCACTTTTGAAAAGAGAATAAAATGGAAAAAAAATTCTACCCCATTTCAAAGCTTCTTATACAGCTACAGTCATCAAAACCATAAAGCATATACAGATGGCAGATAAGCACATGAAAGACGTTCCGTGTCATTAGCCATTAGGTAAATGCAAATTAAATGCATAATGAGATACCACTACACTCTTATCAGAAAAAAAAAAAAAGAGAAATGGTGACGAAGCTAAACCCTGGCTAGGATACTGAGAAAATCAGGGATTCGTGGCCTGCGGGTGCAAAGCGGTGCAGCCCCTCTGGAGAACCATTTTTCCATTTTCTTTGAAAACTAATCATGTCATTACCACATTATCAAGAAATTGCACTCCTGAGCCTTTATTCCCAGTCCAATAAAAGCATGTTGTACTTAAAACCTGTGAACAAATGTTTATAGCAACTCGGTCCACAATAGCCAGTGACGGGTAGCAACTTAGTAGGTAGTGGTTAAACACACTGTGGTCCATCTATGTCACAGAACACCACTGAGCAATGGCAAAATGTCACCAGAAGTGCCTGCTGGAGTCTCGGTGGCCTCTGAGGTGGCCCCAGCAATCCTTGACGGTGACTTTCTCCCTCCCGTCTCCACCTCTATCTTCACCTGGCTTTGTCCTCTGTGCCTGTCCTCGCCTGTCCCTAATAAGGGTGTTTGTCATTGGATTTCATCCAGGTTGGTCCCTCCTGGAGACCCTTACCTTAATTACATCTGCAAAGACCCTTATTCCTAATACGATTAGATTCTGAATTTCGGAGTGACCTGTCTTTGGGGGATGGGGACACCATTCTCTCCACGACATCGTCCTCTTAACCTGCCCCCCAAGGCCATCTGAGGATGCACACTTGGATCCTGTCTTTGCCTCGCTGTGGAGCTGGTCTCCGGCAAGGAGAGGGGTGCAGATTCCAGCCAAGACGTGGGCAGAGATGCTGGAGGCTCTCGCTCCCGCTCTCGGCCGCTGCCGGGCTGCTGATTCTTTAATAAACACTCAGGAGGAGAGGTGTTAGGATGAGGAGTGTCTTCTGGGCACCTCCACATGGGGCCTTCCAGAATCAAAGAGGCACGGGGCACGTGGCTGTCACCTGTGTGGTTTTCATTACACAACAACCCTTCACTCTGGGGTCCAAGCAGTGCCCAGGGGTTTGATTCCGGATGCCATTCCTTCCACAGCTGGATGCCAACTGGTAGAGCTGATGAAACAGCTGGGACCCTGGAGGGACCTGGGGACAGCAGAAAAGGGGCGGGAGTTGCTGAGGAAGCTGGGGGGAGGGGCTCCTTCCTGCTCGGCTCACTCTTTCTGCTGTCTCTGATTCCCTGCCCGGTCCTGACCCCTGCCCTCTTTTCTCTCTGCAGGACCACATCCCTGTCCCTTACCAGCCAGACTCCAGCAGCAACCCCTCATCCACGACGTCGTCCACGCCGTCCTCACCAGCACCCCCGCTCCCTCCCAGCGCCACGCCGCCTTCTCCCATGCACCCTTCCCCGCAGTGCACGAGGCAGCAGAAGAACTTCAACCTGCCAGGTACCTCCAGGCTCAGGGAGATGCCAGTCACAGAGCATTGGTGGCGCAGAGGTGAAGGAGGGGTGGGGTCCATGCCAAGGCTGGGATGGGGCTGGTCCTTGCTGGAAGGCAGTGGGCTGATGACCAGAGAGGGCCAGGGAGGCTCATAGCAATGGTAAACCTTTGCCATATGCAGGACGATCGTCATATGTGACCTTATATACTCTTTAGAGGAACCAGGAGGGAGTATACAGGTCTATTTCAAAGATGAGGAAACTGAGGCACAGGGGGCTTCAGGGACTCTTAGAGATGGTCTTTTGGTCAACAGCACCCGGTAGCTTCCCCTAAATTGCAGGGGGACCCTCTACTCTGGAACCAGTGGTTGTCCTATGAGTCAAGTGTGTTGAAACGGACAGCGTGATTCTTGGGGTCTGAGAGACACCCACCTGAGCAGGGCCGCCTTCTCCATCAACCCTGATGCCAGGACCCAGCTCTGAATGTGCAGCCTGGAGTCACTTGGATAAAACTCAAGGTGCCAGCGTGGCTGGTTCATTCTGGAGGCTGTACCTCTTGCCTTCCTTGGCCTCTGGAGGCTGGGCCTGTTCCTGTGTTGGGCCCTCACGGCCCAGCCATTGCCACAGCTCCTCTGCATCTCTCTCTCACTCTGACCCTCTGCCCTCCCTCTTACAAGGACCTTGTAATTGACATTGAGCTCCTCCCGGTGAATCGGGACAGTGTCCCCATCCCAAGGCTCTTTTGAAAGTCCCTTTTGCCATCGAAGGTAATGTGTCCAGGGATCAGGGCAGGGACATCTTTTGGATGGGGACATTATTCTGTCCTCAACAATCTCTCTTATCATGGGGTCTGTGGCTCAGCAGGAGTGACAGGTGTGAACCAAGTCAATATAGGTGTGAAGGTTTGTCACCTACTTCTCCCCCCCACCCCTCTGTGGCTCCAGGGCCCCAACTCCTCTCGGACGCCAGGAAGCCAGGAGCAGCTCGGCTGCCCTGCTGCCCGCTCAGGTGTATCCCTGCTTCTGTGTGGTGACTTAGCCACAGAAGAGCAGGTCTCCTGGGATACTTTCTCTTCTCATCTTTTTTCAGCCATCAGGAACAGATGTCCTGTGGCCCAGGGAAGGGTCAAGGCTGGGGTTGGCCCCGGGGCATGGAGGCATCTGAGGGGTGGCCCCTTGCCAGGCCAGGCCCTCAGACCTCCCAGACAGCTCTTGCGCCACAGCCCAGCCCCTCCTTCTTAGAGGAACTTGACCACCAGCTAATCTCTCCTGCAGACCCAGGATGCTCCCAGCCCCGTCAGAGCTCGGGGGAAAAGAGATCAGCTAAGCCGCCCGAGAGGAGTTTGTCCTTTTTTTAATCTTGGCCTCTTGTTGGCAAAATGGCTGCGTGCCATCAGAAACCTAGGTTATGTAACGGGGAAAAAAAACAGCCCCTGGAGTCGAGTCCTGCAGGTTTGTGTCTCTTTGCGAGCTCTGCTCTGTAACCCGGAGTGAGTTGTTTGCTATTCTGGACACCCCGTTTTCCAGAGCCAAAATCCACCTGGACTTCAGCTCCCTGAAATCATCTGCAAATGGTCTAAGCTAAAAGTCACTGCTGTTTTCTCTGTGATCAAAGAGGCACAGATAGATGTGTGTTGCCACGGGTGTGTGTTGCTCATGCGTGTGTGCACGGAGTTTGGGATCCTGAGACGCTGGGATTGACTCTCTGTCCTGAAGGAGCTTGTGAATCAGTTCCAACCCCTCGGGGTGTTTTATTTCCTTCCCCCAAACAAAGGACGTAGTGTGCGAAGCTATCTGATTGCCTTGATCATCGATCCTGCTCGTCCCTGAGTTGAGAGCTTTTTGAAGCGTCTGCTCGCTCAATGCAAATAACACATGCCTCCCTCGGGATCCTGGGGTTCCAGGACCCTCTTGAACATCCAGATGCATGGATGCCCAAGTGTCATATGTCCCATGGCTCAGTATCCGTGTGGCTCCTGCGCGCATTCTCTCATAGACTTTACATGGTTTCTAGATGACTCATAATGCCTGATACAATGCAAACGCTGTGGAAATTGTGGTTCTGCTACGTTGCTTAGGGCATAATGACAAGGATAAAAGTCTGTACATGTTCAGTAATGTTCAGGACAGATGCCATTTATTTTCAAATATTTCCAATCCTGGATTAGTCACATCTATTGATGTGGGACCTCTGGGTGCCCGGGGGCTGACTGTTCTTATTTAGAACCTACGACATGCTCGTTGGGAACGAGGGTCCTAGCCCTGTGTGGAAAGGACTGTTATTGACCTTGTTTTGTGCAAGGACCCTGCAATGCACAGAGATTTGCTTTGGCTTTTGCAAGGAACCCACAGCAGAGACAGGATTCCATCCTGCAGGACCGCCTTCTCGACCCCAGGCTCAGAACCAGGGGGCTCAGAACCCCCAGGCTAACCCTCGGTGGGCCAGCTCTGAGGGGCAGCTCGTCGCTGGGCGTCATCAAACAGTTTCTGGAAGTGGATTTGGCAGTTCAGACTCATATCTAACCCCATCTCTGTCCATTTCATTTATGAGGGCATCTAAAACTGTGTGGCCTGCTCCCTATTCTCAGACACTGTACCCCAAAGAAATAAGAGGTAAATTAGAAACCTAGTATCTGGGGCTGGGGCTGCAGCTCCGTGACAGAGCACTTGCCTGGCATGTGGGGGGCACTGGGTTCAATTCTCAGCACCACATACACATAAATAAAATAAAGGTCCATTGACAACTAAAAAAAAATGTATTAAAAAAAAAAGAAAGTAAGGAACCTAGTATCTGAGCCCCCTGACCCCTGGTGAGTGGACCAAGGAGCGAAGGAGTTGGTAGAGAATCAACAGCACAGTCCCGGCCGTTTCTTGTGCATAACTGTTTCCTAAGCGCAGGTTTTACTTACGCTTGTGATAAGTAGAATAATGTCCCTCTCAGGAAAAAAAAAAAAAAAAGCCCCTGTCCTAATCCAGGATCTGCTACTGGACACGACAAAAAGGATCTTTGCCGATGTGATTAAGTCACAGATCTCGAGATGTCAGATTATCCTGGTGGCCCTACATGTAATCACAGCGATCCTTATCCCTGGGAGGCAGGAAGGTCACCGGCGGTAGAAAGTGAAGTCAGGCACAAGCAGAGATTGGAAGGATGAGACTGGGAGCCCTCGGCCTCAAGCAGCTGGAGAAGCCGGGGGTCAGAGTCTCCAGGGATCCCCGAAAGAACAGAGCCCTCGATTTTAGCCCTTTAAGACTCACTCTGGCCTCGGGAGCTCCCGACTGGAAGGGGACCCACACTGGGGTTGTTCTAATCCACGAGTTTGCAGTCATGTGCGACAGCAATGGAAAAGCAAAGGTCTTGGTGCTCAGTGTGGAAATTTAGAAAGCACAGGAACAGCAGGCATGCTCTTTCTTTTCTTTTTTTTTTTTTTATTAAAGTCACGGTCATCATTCTGCCAAAAGGCAAAGAATTAATATTTTGGATTGTGGCTTTACAGACTCTGTTGTTTGTAATTATGCATTTAACAAAATACGGCTTTGTGTTCAGGACGACTGGCCAAGTGGGAGTGGTCTGGTTTTAGGGAGCATGAGTGACCGGGGACATCGGACAGGGTGCTTAGAGTTCTGGTCTCCTCACACACGTTCATAATCCCCTGAAATTTGGGGTACCTGTGGAAGTGCTCTGGGGGGACAGAGACGTGGAGGACATGGGAGGAGCCCATCTTGGTACCTGGAGGGACTCTCACACTACTGTTCTCTCTCTCTCTCTCTCTCTGTGTCAAGCTTCTCACTACTACAAGTACAAGCAGCAGTTCATCTTCCCAGGTGAGTGTCGCGTTTGTGGGCGGCCCTGCCAACAGGCAGGAGCAGCTGCCGGGATGGGCAGAGGGGAATGGTGAGATGCACCCATGGAAGAGGTAGTGGGGGTCACCGCACCCCAGGATAATGGCTGGATGTGGAAGTGGACATCAGGGTGGGAGGTCTCAAGGGCATCAGGGGACCAACGTGGTCCCCAACCACAGTGAAAAGTCTGAGAGGGTGATCTGCTGTGGAAGGCAGAGGTGGGGTCACGTAGCAGGGGAGGGATGGTCAGAGAGGCCCTTGCTGGAAGATGCGAGACCAACTGGCCCCCGGTCCCAAGGGAACTCAGGGAACTCAGGAGTGAGGGAGACTCAGAGGTGATCAACAGGCCTTCCTGGCTAGATGCTTAGGGGAAGCTGCCAGAGCAGCTCCCCAGACCACAGTGGTGGACTATGTGCAGGGGGTCATCTCAGCGTGTAAAGTCCCAGTGGTTGAGGAAGGGACAAAGGGGATTGGCCGGCCCCCGGGACCCGATGTGGTGAAGTGTTATCAGGAGTCCGGCCTCTGGGGGACAGTCTGCATTCCATGTTTGGTTTCTGACGGTTGGATTTCACGCTCAGATGTAGTGCCGGTGCCAGAGACGCCAACCCGGGCGCCCCAGGTCATCCTGCATCCGGTGACTTCGAATCCAATGTAAGTGGAGCAGAGGCCATTGTCCCCTGCCCTGTGCTATGAAATCTGGGCCTTCAGTCTGCTCTGGTCTGGTCTCCTTCCTTCCTCTGGAATAGACGGGGCGGGGAGCAGGGACACATGGCAGGACTCGGGCAGAGAGAGGGAAGGCCAGGACACACAGGCTGAGACGGAGAGGAGAGGGCGTCACCGCCACTAGCCAGCTCTGCCTGTGGCTCTGGCCCTCGTGGCAAGTAGGACCCTCAGGACCCCAGGACCCCACTTCCTGGGATTAGAAAGAACTTTTCTAAGGCAGAACGTTATGAAATGCACTTAATCTAGGTCATTGTCCCTCCCCCCTTTAAAAAGTGTCACTTAGATTTATACAGGGGATCAGTAAGTGATGACCCAGGACACAAGTCCAACCTGTTGCTTGTTTTCACAAATAAAGTTTTATTGGCACCTAACCAGGCGCATTTGTTGGCGGTGTCTTTCCCGCGGCTGCTTTCCCAGTAGGCAGCAGGGTTGAGTCCCTGTAGAAGCCAGCCCTGTGGCCCTGTGGCTCTGTGGCCCTTGGCAGAAAAGGCTCGCCACCTCTGGTTTAGAGCCCGGTGGAAATAGCGCAGGCTCCATTCCTCCTTGGGCTCTGTGAGATATGCAGGGACCCAGCCTGGTTATCTTTCATGCTGTGACACCACTTTTTCCATATTGTTCCAGACTCTTCCTAGACGTTATTTTTTAATGACAGTGAAATGTCCTACCAACTCATTTCCATGACCCTGTCCCCTCTTCCTGAATTTCCATTGAGTCCTGTATTTCACTGCTGTAAACAACACTAGGATGAACATCCTCGGTGCAGCCCCCTAGGGAGGCCGGCCCTCTCTGCAGGTGGCCTCTTCCCCCTTGGTCTCTTTGGCTGTGGCTGAAGTCTGCGGTGTCTGAGGATTGGGCCGGTTCCCAACATCCTTTTCTGCCTACTTGGTTTCTCTTCGGGCTCCTGAAGCTGCTCCATCCATTTGGACCTGCCTTGGGACGTTGTTAAAGAACCAAATGGCACATCTCTGAAATCAAAGGAGCAGCAATTTGCCGGGGGACATTGTGCTGACGCCTCGCTCCAGATCATTTCTCTGCAGCACAAAAACCAACTCCACCATTTGTGCAAGACGAGCTCCAGGTTATTAACTGAGGGTCAGGGAGTGTGTGGAGAGCAGAGTCAGGAGCTCCTGAGGTCCGCTTAGATGCATGGAGGGACGGGGACTCGCTGTTCCCAGAGGGGACTCATCATACCACCCTAGCTGCGGGAGTCACGGTCTTAATGCAAAAGGAGGAGGTCCGCCAGGCACCGGGAGGGGGGACTCCAACTGCATTGTCCCACCCGGGGGCGCTGAGCTCCTAACCTGTCAGCTGTCACTGTGCAGTTAGACGGGGCCTTCCTAGGAGGCGCTATGAATAACTGGACAATGCACACACTTTGTGATGTCCTCCTTTCCCCCTTCTTTGAGATCATGGTCCTTCCAAACTTCCTCCAGCCAGGACCCCTTCCAGGAAGTGGGTTGATTCTGTCTGCAGGGTCAGCAGCTTCCTGGAACCTGAGGGTCTGGATGCGGGAAGGGTCCCCACACACAGCGAGGAGGTGGGCAGAGGGCATCTGCTCAGCTTCAGCTGGAGGACTAGGGAGGGAGCGAGGCCACCATTGTGAGTCCCTTTTCCTACCTGATCCAGCTCTTGTGGGCCTTCAGTAGCCCAGATGCTACCTGCCCTCCTGCACCCGGAGACACACCCTCCCCCGGGAGTCTGAAAACAGGTCCCGATTCACACTGTGTCCATATTCCGTCACCAGACTACCTGTCCAACAGTCCCTGCACTCAGCCCCGACCCAGTTACGCCATCAGCACACAGCACCCTCCCTAACGCCAACATGTCCACCCAGCTCACACACACACACACACACACACACAACAGCTCCTGCACAGAGCTCACTCTGACCCACATGCACAAACCCACACCCAGCACCCCAAGTCCAGCACCCACACACCTAGAGTCCAGCTGCACTCACGAGCCTTCGGATGCATCTCTCTCTCTCTCTCTCTCTCTCTCACACACACACACACACACCTGACTCCTCCCGTCCACCACCGTCACCTTATATCCATTCCACGCACACCAGTTCTGTGTAATTGACAAGGTCCAACTCCAACCCCGTGACATTTCAAACACGTCCAGCAATTCTCTCTCCTTGGGGTCTCCACCGCACTCCATTGCTTCAATCCACACCTCACTTGGGCCCCTGTTCCTTTGAGCCCCTCTGCACAGTTGCTACCAACTTGCCTTCATTCTCTCAGTAGAATAGAACTGTCCCTAAAGTCACCGAAAGTCCCCTAAAGTCAGGAGCCAGCCAGACCCATCTGATGTGTCTCCCTCTAAGGGTTGGGTGCTGCTCCTGGCCCAGGATTTGGGTTGGATGAATGAATGAATGAGTGAATAAGCAGATGGACAAATGAACAGTAAGATCTTTCCAGAAGATTCTGGATCTGAGGGAACTTTAGAAACTAGACTCATTCTTTCCCAGCAGACATGCAGGCCTCTGAGAGTTCAGGCCCCATCCCATCAAGACACCCCTCAGTAGCAATAACGAAAAACGAGCCCAGAAAAATCTATCGAGAACAATGTCCCTGTGCCCTTTGTGGGACTCGGCTATGGATGATTTCAGAACCAAGTATTGAAATGACATGTGAGATGAAGGCTTGTAGGGAGGACGTCCATCTTGGGACACTTCACCCGTGGCGAGCTTGAATACACACACACCCACTGTTCCACCTAAGGGTCCCATTTATTTTTCTTTCTTTCAAGCTTGGAAGGAAATCCATTACTTCAAATTGAAGTGGAGCCAACCTCGGAGGTGAGAGCCGGGAGCAGCCTTTCCCAGGGGCTGCCCACCTGGGTCTTGGGTGACGCAGACGGCTTGGGGCGGGTGGGAGGCAGGTGCGGTGGCTGCTTGATGGATGTTCCCACTCTAGGACAATAACCGGGCACTGGCCCCTCCCGGCACCGAGCCTAATGGGCCGTTATATGGTGTGTACGGTGCAGAAGGCAAAAATTGGCATGAGATTTGCATTCTTAGTTGAAAAATTAGCCCAGAGCAGGGTGGGTACCAAGGGGGATGTGCCCCGCTGCCTTCCAAAGAATACGTGGCCGGGGGACATGGGGCGCCAGGGATACTGGGCTTGGCAGGCCGTTGGGAATGTTCTGGGGCTCCTTTCCACCTGCCCGGAAATTTTATTTATTCTGGAGTCATAAATAGAATGTCCCTTGGTGATAACCGTGGAGTCCCGTCCCTTGACTCTGCTAGTGTGTCCTGAACTTAAAGGCACAGAAGCAGGGTTTCCAGGGAAAATCAGGTCCTTTTGGGGGACCACTATGGTCCCTCAGAAATGGTCACGGGAGAAGACACATGACCTGTGCTAATTGTCCTCATCAGGCCAAAGAGGGCAGCTTCTCGGGTATTTGTGGTCAAGAAGCTCATACCCAGTTAAGTGGCCATTCTCTCAGGTTGTCTTATGAGGTCCCAGGGCCCCTGGAAGTCCCTACTGGCTTGGGCACATTCCCACATTGCAGCCAAAGGATCCAAGAGTTGCAGCATCCCCAAGCCCCAGACACTCTGAAACAGCAGTCTGGGCAGGTGGGTCCCAAAACCTTGAGTGGCTAAATTTGGAGATGGTCACATCTGAGCATACTCGTCAGGTTGACATGCCAGGTCAAAACACAGATTCCCGTCCCTGGCCTGCTGATATTTTGACTCCGTAGATCTGGATGGGGCCCAGGAGTCTGTATTTTCTCAGGGCTCCGAGCTGGTGTTGGATACAGGTGCTCAGGTCCGTGCAAAGAACTTAGCCGCTCTCCATCTCATTGAAACCTTCCCCACCCCCCAGGGCAGATTTCATCGCTTCCACTTTCCAAGGAAGAAAGGGCCCAGAGAAGTAGAGCAACTCCCCCAAGGCCACACAGAGCCCAGCGGCCAGCTCACTCGGTCCAACTGTTAAGCCCCGTCTATTCACAGGACAAATGCCAGGCTCCTTCCTGCTACTAGAGCCTCAAGCCTCTGCCCTGTGGCTCTGGCCTCTCCCACGTTCCCCAGGGCTAGAACCACAGAGGTCCCAGCAAACCGGAAGGCGTGGTCCCCTTACATTCCTCTCCCTAGTGTCCCCCACCCCCAGGGTGGCTCTGGGATCTGCCTCTCAGGATCTCCTTTGTCTTACGATTCTGGACCTAAGCCACCTGGGGACACAGAGCTACGTCTGCAGCAGCCGCATGGAGATGCCATGTGTCCAGACCCCCTGGGGACCCCGAGGGAGGGTGGGGCAGTGGGTGGCAGCAGTGGCTCTGACCTTCTCCCCCCCTCCGACCACAGAACGAAGAGGGCCGCGACGAAGCCGAGGAGTCGGAAGACGACTTCGAGGAGATGAACCTGTCCCTCCTCTCGGCCCGGAGCTTCCCGCGCAAGGCCAGCCAGACCAGCATGTTCCTGCAGGAGTGGGACATCCCCTTCGAGCAGCTGGAGATCGGTGAGCTCATCGGGAAGGGCCGCTTCGGGCAGGTCTACCACGGCCGCTGGCACGGCGAGGTGGCCATCCGGCTGATCGACATCGAGAGGGACAACGAGGACCAGCTCAAGGCCTTCAAGCGGGAGGTGATGGCCTACAGGCAGACGCGCCACGAGAATGTGGTCCTTTTCATGGGCGCCTGCATGAGCCCGCCGCACCTGGCCATCATCACCAGGTCAGTCCCCTCCGGCTGCCACCGCGGCTCTGGGTGCAGTCAGGAGATGCGGTTCTGGTTAATCCCTCGTCTGGCTGATAGGCGGTGTCCAGGGGTGCCGCAAACGGCTTCCTTGCAATCTTTAAGTCCCCAGGAAATAACCTGTGACGCTGACCTCTTCCCCAAAGCCTCGTGTGAGGACTGAATGGGGGGTCAGAGAATCGGGGTCGAATTCCCCTTCTGCTCTAAGCTTTTGTGTAGGGAATCCCTGGGGCTGGCTTTCCTTGTATGCAAAGTGGGTGGGTGACCCTAATCCAGGCAGTGGCCCTAAACCAGGCAGTGGCCAACTTTTTCTACAAAGTATCTAGGAGTGAAATACTTGGCTCTTTGCAGGCACACAGTTTCTGGAGCAGCTATTTAGCTCTGCGCTAGTGCATAAGCCGCCGTCGAGGTGTGCATGAATCTGCATGGCTGTGTTCCAATAAAACTTTATTTACAAACCAGGTGGTGGGCTGGGTTTGGCCCATGGGCCATAGCTTCCTAATTTCTGAGCGGAGGCTCTGTGGGTGTTACTCTGGCTTCCGTGGCCATCTCAGAGTACATTTCTGATCTTTACCGTCACCCTTACGAATTTCCAGGATCTATGGTCCGTGGACATGCGGAGTGGTCATGGGTGGAGAATTAACAGTAACAGAATGTCAGATGACAGGGACTTTGGGGACTCTCTCTCTCTGTCCTCACTTGGTGATGTGAGGCAGGCAATGGTAAAAGATTAGCTTTGGTTTCCCGGGAACAGTTGTGAACAGTCCTTTGGTGTGATTTTGAGCTTTGGCTCTGCTCCCTTATTACATTAGAAGACCTCAGGTGATGAGATCCCAGGGCAGAAGTCTCTCCCCTTGGGAAGGGTCCCAGGCCACTCAGGAGGCCTTGGTGACTGACACTGCTGATTGTGCAGGCCGTGGTTGACGGGGGCCGGGGTGTCGAACGGAAAGTGCTTGTGGGGGACTGAAGATCCCTCAGCCTTCCTTAAACCAGGAAAAATGGTGGCTGTCACTCTACCCAGGACAGAGGTGCCTCTGTGGCCATCCACCAGTCAGGGCTGAGTATCATCCACGATGATCAGGCTGTGTAAGCTCAGTTACCTTGGGGCTTCCCAATCCTGTGGGCAGTTCTGGGCTGGACCAGGCTCCGTGACTGTGGCCACACCATTGGCTGTGGTCAGCTGGCAGGTGGACGGATGCAGTCACTCATTTGTCTGGTGGTGGACAGACCATCAACAGGCGCCTCCGTCCTGCTCCATGTGGCCTCTGACCCCCAGCGACCTGGTTCAGGTTTATTCCTAGGATGTCCTCAAGTCCCCGAGCACAGCAAGGGGTCAAGGCCTGGCACACAGTGTGTGATCATGCCTCTGCTTGGGACGTCTTCGCTGGCATCCACTGGCCAGAGCAACCCCTGTGGTCACCAGATTCAAGGGGCAGAAAAACAGACTGGACCCCTGAACAGAAGGATCTGTAGGGACAACCTGTGGCCGTTTGTGTGATCCCAGCAGGACCTGGGCTCCCTTTGTCCCCTCTTCCCTAGGAGGTACTCTCTCCTCTCAGCAGGAGGCAGGGACCCCTCACTCAGGATGCACAAATTTGGCTGAAAGATGGTCTTCTTCCCACTTTCAGTAACCCCACTTTCTCTGGCTCAGCTCCCCAGTTCTGTTAACCCTACTCGAGGGGCGCTCGACCACTGAGCCACATCCCCAGCCCATTTTCATATTTTGTTTAGAGACAGGGTCTCCCCGAGTTGCTTAGGGCCTCACTGAGTTGCTGAGGCTGGCGTTGAACTCTCGATCCTCCTGCCTCAGCCTCCCGAGCTGCTGGGATTATAAGCAGGCACCAACCCGCCTGGCCCTACTTTTTTTTTTCCTACCCCCAAATTAGAAACTGGTGCCTCCTCTTCTTGACCCTTCGAAGGACCTCCTGCCTCTTCTCTTACTTTTTGAGGATTATCCGTGGAGACCTGTTCCCCACACCTCTCTGCCTGTCTCCCTCGCCCCCTCCCCAACGTCTGGCTCATGGGCAGTGGATGGACCCAGTTAGCAGCCACCCTTAGAAAAAAAACCGAGTGGTCATTATGGAAATGTGTCGCTCACCCCGCCAGCCAGCTGCATCGGCGGCCCCCTCTCCTATTATGCACAAAATTCTGAGCCCCCTCCCCAAGCCCCATAACTACCTACAGATTTCACAAATAGCCCAGCCTTTTCCTGGCACTGAGATAAAGACTCGGCAGCTTTGGGACATGTAATTGGTCTCTGAAGTGTTTTGCTATTTTGTGTGAGGATTGCCAGATGAGCCCCAAAGAGGTGGCGTTTATTCCATATCATTGTGTTGGGTAGATATTTCTCTTCGGGAGGGGCTCCGCGTGCCCCCCCCAACCCCGTCCAGCGCCGCGTCCACTTGTTGGCCATCCAGAATCCGCATCGAATATTCGATTGGAAACTAAATATTTGAGTAATTTGATTAATCACTTGCGCGTTCACAGGATGGACTGGCAGAGGTCGATGGTTGGACCGTAGCCAACCGACTAGAATAATTCTGAGATCCGGGGTTTATTTTACAGGGAGCATAAAACCAGATAATTACCTGGCATATTCTGGATAAATTCACAATAGCATATTCTAGCCAATTACTTAGTAATTATCATCAAAGTTAACGAGTATTTCTAAGATTAGCGTCCTGGTAATGCGCTATGCATGGCTCTGGGGGATGAGTAACAACCAGCTAGTTACCCAATTGCTTTATCCACAAATACAATTAGCATCGGGATGGCTACATTATTTCACGATTGGGTCATTATGGAATTATGGCCAAGCTATCGAAAGTCTGGGCCATTGCTCCTGTTCAAAACCCCGAATGGAATTGGAAAGCCGATAATGAACCAGTTGAAGGAGCGCGTCCCCCCACTTCCGCCCAGCTGGGGCGGGGATGGCTGGGCCTCAGTTTCCTCATCTGTAATATGAGCAGGTGGCAGCAGCTGTCTGTGGAGGGGGGTTGGTTCCGACTCTGAGGATGTGCTGCCATTCGCAAAGCCGCAGGGAACAGCTCACCGGGCCAGTGCTTCCCTCAGGGTGGTCTCTCGGGACCTCAGGCCTTTCAAAATGCATGTGCCTGGGACCTGCCTGTGGTCCAGTCCTGGCACCTGACCTGAGGCCCAAGCAATCAAGTCTGTCTGTAAGCGGAGCCTTTTTAACCCAGCTCCAGCCTGGTCGCCCTGAGGTTGGCTCTAGGGAGATGGACCCGGCCCTTCTTCCCAGGGAGGCAGAGGAAACGGGGCCCTTGTTAGCCTCTGCTCCAGCCCTGGGGAGAAGAAGACGGAGCCCTCATCTGCTTCCTCTTCTGACGAGTGACCAACCATGGCCTGGTCCCACCTCTTGGTGGAAGTCATTTCCCTGGTTCAGGGAAGAGCACAGAGCACCCAAAAGCAGGGTGGGAAAGCAGCCGATGCCACTCGTCTTCGGTGACAAGTGCTGTCCTTCAAGCCGGGCACAGCCACGTGTGCCTGTTGATCACCGTTCCCAATTCACAGACGCGGAGGCCGCAGGGGCAACGGGAACCCTTGCCCATTTCATGGAACAGGTAACTGGCAGAACTTGGCATGGAGTGAGGGAGCCTCTAAATGCTGGTCTGGCACCGTCAGGCCAGGCCACGGGGAATGGGCTCCCCCTGTGACATTCCCCGTCACCCTTGGAGGACTCGGTCACGGCACACAGCTCCAGCCCCCACTGGAGCTTCCGTCATTTTTATTAAGATCCCAAGGATTTGGCGCACACCAGCTGGAAAACCCTGGGTCATCAGAACTGAGTTTTGTTTCATAAGTTGGATTTTTTCTGGGGCTTGTGTATTTCCGTTATGCCCTGAAAATTCTGTGAAGGCACACGCACATGCACACGTGCACACACACACGCACACACCCCTCTCCCCCATGTCCCCTAGGTTACCTGCCAGTTCTCTGTTTCATTCTCGTCCTCCTGCCGCCCCCTCTCCAAGAAGTGCACGTTGCTCCCCGTCTCCCTGCAGAGGACACTGCGTGACATCGGCCTCGCACAGGATCTCTCTACGGAGCTCACAGAATAGACGGTTCCTCCAAAAGCCCGTCCCCACTCCCTGGGTAATTTTCTGGAATTGCAAAATGACTTAAATCAGAGCTTCTGGTCCTGTGGGCCGCTGGCCCGCCTCCTGCAGGGACCTGTTAGAAATGGGCGTCCCCCACCCCGGTGCAGAGGGTCCCTGGGAAGCCTCTGACAGGAGCTCAAGGGTGAGGCCGGCCACTCTAGAGGAGCCCGCTCCTGCTCCCTCCCCAAGCAGGTGAGCTGCCCTGCAGTGGGAGCCCAAGGCAGCCCTCTCCAGGGAGCCTGCCACAGGCCTTGACCACACCCCGCCAGGGAGAGTCCAGGCAGCGGGCGAGACACCCAGAACACGGAGCCCCAGTTACACTGGGTCCTTACAGACTCGTGGACAGTAGAGGTTAGACAAGAAGGCAGGAAAATGTTGTGGTGAGTACCATAAAGGCCACAGACAAGGTCAGGGTGACAGGAGCGTTCCTTTGAAGAGGGCTCAGAGGAAGCTTCTGAGGGCGGGGTGGAAGGTAAACATTTGAGCTACAATCAACTGAAGAAGAGGAAGAGCAGAGAAGGGGCTGCCCTATGGCAGGTGCAAAGGCCCTGAGGCAGGAGGGAGGCAATCATATGGAGGACCGGAGAGAAGCAAGTGAGCCAGGAGGGCAGGGTGGTAGGAAAAGGCCCACAGAGGCCGGATGATTGTGGAGCCTCAATAACCCAAGAAAAGGGTGTGGAGTTTATCATAATGGACTAAAGCAAGATTTCTTTCTAACTTTGTAAAGGGTTCTCTCTCCCCTATTTTTTTTTTAATGGGTGAATTCCAGAGCCGGGGTTTTCATAAGAGCCATGCTCGGAGCCGCCCTGCTGGCCTGGTTTCTGCCTCCTGGTCCACGGAGCTGGTGGGTTCCGAGTGGTA